CGGTCTTCAGGGACAGATTCTTCAATGAAGCTTCTTCCAAAGGTTCGAAAGGCTGAGTACACAGAGATTTAAAAACTTAAGACAAATCCCAAGAGGGAAAACAGATTTTCTTATGAGGCTTTACGAGTCTTACAGCTTTAAAAAATCTCCTAATGAAAGGATCAGAAACTTGGACTTTGAGGGTAGAAAGACTAAAACCTTGAGCAAGACCATCTTGTAAAAAATGAAGGATAGTATCAGTAGAAGGAGAGGATCTTATGCAACGATGAGATATGCACCAGTGAAGAAATCTCGTCCAAATCTATACGTAGATAGAAGAGGTAGAGCTCCTGGTAGAATTTAACAGTAACTGAAACCTCTCTTCTTTAATGCCGCTATTATGCAGAATTAGCCGTGCAGCAGCCAAGCTGTCAACCTGAACATGGTCAATACTTGTACTGAAATTCCCTTGTCTTCTGGAAGATCCCATGTTACCGGGAGAATCCAGTACTTTAAAGCAATTTTCTTTAAAACCGAGAACCAGCTGCGATTTGGCCAGAATATGAGCTTGATATGATGTTACCTTTTGTAGAATCCTTGGGACAAGGCTTACTAGGGGAAAAATATAAGCAAGGGGAAACTCCCACCGGATCGAAAGACCATCCATTACCAGCGGCCTGTCTACCTTGAAGAGGGAGGCAAACGATCTTACTTTTGCATTTGATCTTCTTGCCATGAGGTCTATGACTGGAAGACTGAATCTCTTCACCAGATGAGCGAAAATTTCTGGATTGAGAGACCACTTGTTCTGGGACCATTTTGATCTGCTTAAATCGTCCGCTACCACGTTGTCTACTCCTCGAATGTGAATGGCTGAAATGTCGTCTAGATGACTTTGAGCCCAGGACATAATCCGTGAGCAAAGGAAATACAATTTTTTTACTCTTGTACTACCTTGCTTGTTTAGGTAGGAGACTGTAGTCTGATTGTTCGACTGGATTTTTACAGCTTTCCCTACAATGAAATCCTTGAACTAGTGAAGAGTAAAGAGTACTGCTAACAACTCCTTGAAATTTGAAGATTCCTTTGTTTCCTTTTTCGACCAAACACCTTGTCTTAAGTGATACAGGAGGTGAGTTCCCCAAACGGTATTTGAAGCGTCTGTAGAAATCACGATCCAAGATTTTTTATGAAAAGACAGGCCTTCTGTAATTAATTTTTCCTCTAGCCACCAAGAGATTTTTTTCTTTTGTATGATCTGATATACTCATTAATGCATCCAGGTCTTCTTCCTTCTTTGACCATTGGATAAGAATTTCCCACTGTAAGGGCCTTGATTCCGCTCTGGCCCATTTTACTGCCGGGATTGTAGAGGTCAGATGACCTGAAACCTGCATGGCTTTCCTCACTGAACATTCTGACATCCGAAGAAGGTTTTTTATTAAAATCTTTATCTTTTTTTTTCTTTTCTCTTGTCAGATGAACCGACAGAGTGTCTGCCTTGATCAAAAAACCTAGAAACAGGATAGACCTGTAGGGGTAAGGTGTGATTTTTCTAGGTTGATAATCCAACCATGTTCTTCCAGGATATCTAGTGTATAGGCCACATCTGATTCTAGAGCGCCTCTTGAATCTGCCTTTATTAACCAGTCGTCCAAGTAAGGTACTACTGTGATTCCTTGCATCCTCAAAAAAGCCGTGACAGGTGTGAGGACCTTTGTAAAAATCCTTGGAGCTGAAGCTAGTCCGAATGGAAGGGCTCTGAATTGGAAATGATGGACATTTTTCCTTTTCCTTATAGCAAACCTTAGTTATTTTCTTGATTTCACATCCATAGGAATATGCAGATAGGCATCCTTTAGATCTAAAGTTGCCATAAAATCTCCTTTTCGAAGGATATGAGTGACAGACGCTATAGGTAAGGAATGAGCTTGTTCAGGTTTTTTAGATCCAATTTGGCATAGCTGCCCAGTTGGTCCACTTATGTGGTATCTCCGGTTAGATCTCAGGTTCGCCTGTCATGTTGGTGACAAGATTTGTCGGTTCTCAGCTTCCACCCACTGTTAGACGGTTTAATGTGTTGTACGGTATCAGAGCAACATATCCGCTCAGTTCTGCGATCAGGCCCCGCTCCCCTACTTTTAGGGAAAGTTTTATTTTAGGAAGAATTCATTTAAGAAAAAAATATTTTTCAGTGATGAATAGTGAATAATGACAAAGGTAAATTCATATTCAAATTTAGAATCTTGCTGGTTTACACATAGTACCTGAATATTAGAAATTAATTACTAAATAATTTAACTTGTTCTTTACTAACAAACTAAACCATTCTGGTATGGAAAATGCTGTGAACTTAGCATAAGAAACTAGAAAACACATAATATACTTGTGTGTGATTAGTCTTTATACATTGCGCTCAAGTGTTTGATTAGTGAAGCTAATTCAGGGTTTCCACCAAGAGAGTCAATGTGTCCTTATGACCCCTTTTCCAGTTCTTTTAATGTTTTCTTTGTGTACTCAAATAAGTCCACCTTTTCTAGATAATGAACAGAATATTTCTTAACATCTACATTCTTTGTTCTCTGCCTCAAAAACATTCAGGTCTTGACCAAATTGCATGTTTGGTAGGAAATGAAAATTGTCCTTCTGCAAGGTCATCACAAAAGTTTTTATTCTCACAAAACTCTTTGGAGTTTAGATTGACATAATCATCCCTGATTTGGAAAAAACAACCCAAGTGCATTCAGCAGTGGTTTTAAGTCTTTTTTATATGAGGAGAACAACTGCATAAGGCTCACTGCAAACCCAAACAATCCCCGTTTTTGTAGCACCATAGATGTATACTGTTCTTCTGTAGGACAAGAATAAGTATCTCTCCAGTAAATATCCAGTCAATGACCACGGTGGAGTTCAAGCAATTGCTGGGTAAAAACACAAACAGCATCTGGATGATTAAGAGTTAGAACTTTCTCCAAACCAAGAAAATATACATAATTAGCTGAATTTATTATTGAAGGAATCTCATATGTAATGTGAACCACTGGAAAACCTCGTTGAAGCTTGGAGTTGTTTTCAATGTCATCTATAAGTGGTTAACTGGACTTTGGCTGCCTCATTACAATACCTTGATTCTCTTCTTTTTCAGCCATTCTGTTGTAGATTTGCTGGTGTGCTTGGGATCACTGTCCTGTGCATGACCCAATTTCGGACAGAGGCCTTACATTTGACTCTAGAATACTTTGGTATACAGAGGAGTTCATAGTCGACTCAAAGACTACAATGTTCCCAGGTCCTCTGACTTCTAAACAAGCCCAAATCATCACCACTCCACTGCCATGCTTGACAGTATGAGGTGTTTGTGCTGATATGCTATATTTGGCTTTCGACTAATGTGGCGCTGTGCATTATGTCTAAACATCTTCACTTTGGTCTCATCTGCCCAAATGACATGGTTCCAGAAGTCCTGTGGTTTGTTCAGATGTAGCTTTGCAAAACTAAGCCGTGCTGCCATGTTCTTTTTAAAGAGTAGAGAAGGTCATCTGGCAACCCTTGCAAACAGACCAAAATTGTTCATTTTTTTTCTAATTGTACTTAATACTTTAACATTTAAAATGCTGAGACATGTAGAGGCTGAGATGTAGCTTGGCCTGACTTTGGAGTGAATTTGCTGGGATGTCCACTTCTGGGAAGAAACAGTCTTCAATGTTTTCCACTTTTGAATAATCTTTCTCACTGTAGAATGATGGACTTTAAACCATTTGGAAATGGCCTTGTAACCCTTCCCAGTTTGAAAGGCAGCAACAATTGCTTTTCTAAAATCATTGCTGATGTCTTTCCTCCTTAGCAACATGTTAAATACCTGAATGCTCCAGACCAGCAATCTGCTAAAACTTAGCTTTTTATAGAGATAGTTATACTTGCTGCTGATCAATCAAAGGCATATGATTAGCAGCACCCGTCTGCTAAGTAGCATTTTAAGTCCTATGGAAGCAGTAAAAATGTACTTAGTTTTTCATACATGGCTTCTCCATTTTGGCTGTATTTTTGTAAAATCATGACATTGTGTAATATGTCATGCGTTGTTCATCTAAGGTTGAATTTACCTAATTTTAAGACCTGCACTTACTCTCTTTTTCCCGTTACTGTATATATATCTAATATAATGTATATATAAATAAGTCTATTTATCTATTTGCATTAAAATATCACTCATTTATACTGTATTACGCTATGTTAGTTTTTTAATTCTTATGCAAATTTCATTTATGATTCACGACCTACAATTCAGGTTATTTGTAAATCTTCTATATCACCATGTATTGGGAGGTGTTTCCATTTTGTCTTTTTAATTATATGTGTTTTAGGTGTTAGTGAAGTACACCTGGGACTTCTCCCTAATATATGGTTTTTCATTCTCACTTGGTATAGTGTGTATACTCTATTATTTGTTTGCATAATGTATATATAATCTTAGCAATTTAAGTCCGTTTGGCTTGAAAGTACATTTTAAATTGTATTACTTTTTACAAAAAATATTTTAACAGTTGTTATCATTTTAATTAGTATTGTGAAGTATTTGCAGTCATGTCTTAACAGAATGTTCACAGGATAGGCCCACCTATATTGAATTGGTTTATCTTTGGACTCCCTTGTCAATTATTTTCTACGCTTCAGTGTGGAAGCAAACAAGTCTTGAAAAATGTCAGGCCCCCAAATTCTCCAGGCAGCTCCTTTCCTTTCTAATTGCAGTTAGAAAATTCTTCTTAATATGGAAAAAGTGAATCCTTGCAAGAAGGTCTCTTGAGGAATTCGGTGGAGCCAAATTCGGTTTTGGAATCCCATGACATTGTCTGTAAGTAGTTCTGATTAATTTGCGTTTGGTAGAACCAAAAGCAATACAGCTTTCACATAATCATACAATTTGTCTGGCAGAATACTATCAGATATATTAGAAATTGGGGGGTTGTTGCATCTGCTCCAATCCCCAAATCTGTAATTTTGATAGTAGCAAGTCTACTCACTCGCGAATCAGGATTCAAATGTTCAGTCTTTAAACCAATCAATTCATGGTCGATTTGCTCCGTGCGATCCCGATCTCCCATCACGTCTTTTCGCAATACGGTCAATTGGGCTCCCAAAATAGTGCAGCTTTCATTGCGGTTTTGAGACGAAAGTAGGGTCGGTAAAGTCACCAAAGAGCCCTCCGTAACAGTATGGGTGTCAGGGATCGATTGTACCTGATACTGAGGTACACCCAGCCTACCACAGTCGAGGCAGAGAGCAATGCTGATTTTTCGGCAGCCTATGCTCCAGGGCCGATTTTTCTGTTTCTTCATCATGATGGAGTAAGATGTTAGGAAGTAGATTATGCAGGAATAAAGGGTATTTCTGCAATTTTTGTTGCAGATAATGGTGTTTTTTGCTCAAGTCTTCTGAGAGCTTTCCTACAAAGTAGCCACTGTATTTCAAATTCTCCTAATCTTAATTCTGATGTTAGAAAATATGGTTCCAAATGGTAGGTGATCAACCTTCCTACTTTGCTCTAGGAGGGCTGGAGGTCAGTGGTTGCTGCTGGGATCTCTTTCTGCACAGTTCCCTCACGTGCACTGTAATGATGCCGATGATGGGATGACGTCACATCCCAGCTGCCGACTTACGGCGGAGCGAAAACAGTCAGACACAGTCAGATGCACACAGTTATACACATATGCTGTCAAATACAACCACTTGCACATATTTCCAGGCACATAGTCACTCGCACACAGTTACAGGCAGACAGTCACACACAGTTACAGGCAACATCACACAATCACAGGCAGACAGTCACACAATCACAGTCAGTCACACACTGGCACACAGTCACTAGTACATAGTTACATAGCTGAAAAGAGACTTGCGTCCATCAAGTTCAGCCTTCCTCACATATGTTTTTGCTGTTGATCCAAAAAAAGGCAAAAAACCTAGTCTGAAATAGCAGTCAGATGTCTCATTGGCTCAAGCAGCTATTACCACACTAATTAGAAATTATATCCCTGTATGTTATGTTTTTGCAAGTATTTATCCAATTGCAGTTTAACCCCTTAAGGACACATGACATGTGTGACATGTCATGATTCCCTTTTATTCCAGAAGTTTGGTCCTTAAGGGGTTAAACATCTGTATGGACTCTGACAAAACCACCTTTAGGCAGAGAATTCCATATCCTGATTTGCTCTAACTGTAAAAAAAAAAACCAAAACCTTTTCTTTGCCTTAGATGAAATCTCCTTTATTCCAGCCTAAATGTGTGACCTCATGTCCTATGTATAGCCCTGTTTATGAATAGATTTCCAGATAATGGTTTGTACTGGCCCCGAATATATTTGTATAATGTTATCATATCCCCTCTCAGGCATCGTTTTTCCAAACTAAAGAGATTTAAATGTTTTTACCTTTCTTCATAACTAAAATGCTCCATTCCTTTTATCAATTTTGTAGCTCGTCTCTGCACTTTTTCTAGTGCCATGATATCTTTAGAACAGGTGCCCAAAATTGCACAGCATATTCAAGGTGTGGTCTTACCAGCGATTTATAAAGAGGCAAAATTATATTTTCATCCCGAGAATTTATGCCCCTATTTATACATGACAAAATCTTACTGGCCTTAGCAACTGCAGATTGACATTGCATATTGCTGCCTAATTTGTTGTCTGTAACAATTCCCAAATCCTTCTCATGTGTGGTTATCCCTAGTTCACTACCATTTAGGGTGTAAATTGCTTGTGCATTATTAACCCCAAAGTGCATAACTTTGAATTTCTCTATGTTAAATTTCATCTGCCATTTTAGTGCCCAGTCCCCCAATCTATCCAAATTCTTCTGCAGCAAAGCAATATCCTGCTCACATTTTATTACTTTACAAAGTTTTGTGTCATCTGCAAACACTGATACATGACTTTCAATGCCTATTTCAAGATCATTTATAAATATGTTAAATAGAAGCAGCCCCAAAACAGAACCCTGAGGGACACCACTTACCACTTTTGTCCAGCCTGCAAATTTACAATTAATAACTCGTTGTACTCAATGCTTAAGCCAATGTTCTACCCAAGAACAAGAATATTCATCTAGACCAATTTCTTTTAGTTTGAAGACTAACCTATTGTGAGGAACAATATCAAATGCCTTGGCAAAATCCAAGTAAATCACATCCACTGCAACACCCTGATCTATATTTCTACTTACTTCTTCGTAGAATGCAATTAGGTTAGTTTGACATGACCTATGTTTCATAAAACCATGCTGATTATTGCTAATAACACAGTTCTTCCCAATGAATTCCTGAATATAATCCCTTAATAGCCCTTCAAATATTTTCCCAGTCACAGAAGTTAAGCTCACAGGTATATAATTTCCAGGCAAGGATTTTTAACCCTTTTTAAATATAGGAACAACATCTGCCTTCCTCCAATCCTCCGGTACAATACCTGAAACAAAAGAATCTTGAAAAATTAAATACAGAGGATCACTTATTTCCCCACTTAGTTCCTTAAGTACTCGTGGGTGAATACCTTCAAGCCCCAGAGCTATATTTACTTTAATTGCTGTAGCACCTTGTCTCGAGTTATCCAATCACAAGTTATCTGCAAGTTTTTTGCAGCAATCATTTGCATATATCTTGCCATAGGATCTCATTAATATATACTGAAGAAAAATTATTTAAAATTTCTGCTTTTTGCTGGTCTTCATTAGCCAACAAACCCATCTCTGTTTCCACTGTACCTACACTTTTATTTTTTTGTTTTTTGGGGGGGTTGGTTTTGCATTCTTTGGCTATCAATTTCTCATTTTATAGTTTAGCCACTTTGATTGCCTTTTTGCAAACATTATTGGCTTCCTTATATCTTATATAGGATGCCTCTGATTTGTCCGATTTAAATGCTTTAAATGCCCTTTTCTTATTTTTAATCTCTTCTTTTACTTCACTACTAAGCCACATTGGTTTTAATTTGTTTGTTTTATATTTATTACCCAATGGTACATACTGAGAAATGTACCTTTCTAGAATTTGTTTGAATAGTTTCCACTTATCCCCAGTGTTTTTATCACTAAGGAGTTTATGCCAGTCGATATTTTGTAGAGCTTTTTTAAAATTATACATTTTAGTATACCCCACGTGCTTTTGCTTTTTTGAGTTTATTTTAAAAATTACCATATTGTGATCACTATTTCCCAAATACTTCCCTACTAAAATGTTGGTTAAAAGATCAACATTGTTAGTTATAAAGAGATCCAGACAAGCATCCTTTCTAGTTGGTGCTTGTACCAGTTGTGACATAAAAGGTGTCATTTAACACATTCAAAAACCTGATTCCCATTGCTGAAGTACTAGTCCCCCTGTCCCAATTTATGTCTGGGTAATTAAAATCTCCAATAATTAACGTGTTACCCCGATTTGCAGCTTTTCCAGTTTGCTCTAACAGCTGTTCTTCTTCATTAATTTACATTAGGTGGTTTATAACATATCCCAACCAATAATTGATTTCCCTTTGTTTGCCCCATGCAGATATCTACCCATAAAGCTTCCACATTTTCCTCGTCACACTCCACATGCCTATGATTTTCACATACACAGTCACAGCCAGACATTCACACACACAGTCACAGGTAGACAGTTACACACACAGTCAAAGGCAGACAGTCAAACACACTGTCACAGGCAGATAGTTGCACACACAGACACAGGCAGTCACAGATACACACACATAGTACACACTCCCTCACTTACTGGAGGAGGAGTGGAGTCACTGAAGTCCCTGGTGAGTAGTTGTTCGGGGGCAGGGACTCCTTCCTGCTTCCCAATGTGTGCAGCAGTAGCTGCAGCCAGTGGAGTCAGCCTTTAGCGCTGCCCCAACTCATCGAGATGTTCTCCAGCTCCCGGCCCCTGCGTGTGAGCTGTGTCAGCTGCCCAGTGCCCCACAACCCCAAGCTTGGCCAACCCTGGTGGCAAACCCCCTACCTTGTGGCACCCTGGGCGGACCGCCCCCTTAGTACGCCACTGGACTGTTTTTATAATTACATTTACTGTGATCAGTGCTTGGCAGGGTCACCCAGTCAGGATCTATTCAGAGCCTGGGGTTCTTCCTGGTGGAACCTGCAGTCCAGAAACACAGCAGCTGAAAAAAAATGTGATCATCCTCAGTGTTCTGAATTAATTAAAAGGGCTATATGAAGCGCTGACGTCCAGCACTGCATAGAGCTCATTGGTCAGTATGGGGCCACTAAAATTGGTCCCACGCTGACAGAGGGGAGCCCCAGGTATCATTTGATACCTGGGACTCCCTGGGATTTAACCTTGCTCATACAAAAACTGCAGGACGTATCAATAGTATTAAAACCCATTATAATTAAGATGTACTGACATGTCCTAAAGTTTTTAAAATGTTACGATAAATGTGAAAACCAAAGGGAAAGACATTTGAGACAGAAATCAACTGAACATGTTTTGTCTAATCCACTGCACATGCTCTTGGGTTTAAGCATTATAATTTTATTACTTATATAGTGCCAGCAGATTCCGTAGCGCTGTACTCGCTAAAGCTTGCATGAAACATGTTAGGTCGTGGTCGGTCCCAAATGACAGACTTAAATTAACTTAAGTAAAAGACAGATAAGGGCTGTGCCACATGCAATAAAATAAAGTAAAATATAATAAAAATATGGATAAAAATAAATTAAAAGTAAATACTGTGAGTCTTATACCAGATGTGCAAATTTACACATATAAGATAGTCTCTTATTCAGGAGGTAGGTTCAACTGTGGTTCTTAGTACTTTAGGGGGTCTTGTAGTCTTGGGTCTCCGTATGTGGGTGAGAAGAAACACAAAAAAGACCTAATTGTGCAGTAAGCCAGGGCTAAATAGGCCTGTTATTAAATAATAGTATTGCACTCACATTTGAGACAGCTATCGCCAGCTCTAGTATGAATCGCCTATAGTGGTATAAACCCCACTATTTATGATATGGTGGTGGTGGGTCTTGGCTGGTGGTTGTCTGGATGCTCAAAGACAAAAAAATTGAGAGAGGCCACAGATAGTGCTCTCAGTAAGACACAGTAATTATATGAATATAAAGGTTCTACTAAGACATAGGGCAGGCTCACTGCTCTGTGGAGTCAGCGTTGGTGGTATAATCCCCACCTGTGACTATACAGGGAGTAGGAGCAGATGGATCAGAAGTAAAAAATAGAAAATAAAACTGGATAAAATAAAATACAATAATTATGTTAGGAAGCCAGGGAGAATATATGAGTAAAGGTATGGTACAATAAAAAATGTTGTAAAACCCTTTATTACATCAAATAAAAAAGTTAACGTGTTTCATCATCAGATTTTTTTCAAATGGATTAGAACACTTAAAATGTTGATGTTAAAGGAAGGCATGGACTTAATTTATGAGCCTTTCCAAGATTCGGCATTATCGTTATTATTGTGACTGCATAGTCCCCATTTTTATATTCCATAATTAATGCAAAGTTTACAAGATCATTACTTTAAACAAAAAAGTGAACCTAAGTACACAGTTACTCTACTGCCAATTTTGCAACAGAGTTTGAAGGGACTCTACCTACTTAATTTAAATGAAGTGGTTATAGTGTCCAATTTTTGGTATGCCTAGAAGTAAGTGTGTAATCTCTAACTTAGCCATATCGCCAGAAGTGGCCAGGAGACCTTATATATTGTTAAACTGCTCGAAAATGGTTTGACACTGAATGGAAGAACAGCAGCAGAGGATTCCAGTCACTTTAACCAATTTAAAGAGATTAAATGGTTTTACTGCTTACAGTTTCCCTTTATTTAAATTATTTTTGGAAGAATTAAAGGAAAAATAATTAATTTTTTTTTCAGTGATGAATAGTGGATAATGACAAAGATAAATTACCATTCAAATTTAGAATCCTGCTGAGACTGGTTTGCAAGTAATGGTTGCACATAATATTTAGATGTTAGAAATTAATTGCAAAAACATTCAACTAGAAACCACGTATTATACGTGTTTAGGAGTGTGTGATTAGTCTTTATACATTGCGCTCAAGTGTTTGATTAGTGAAGCTAATTCAGGGTTTCCACCAAGAGACTCAATGTGTCCATATGCCTCGGTTTCCAGTTCTTTTAATGTTTTCTTTGTGTATTCAAAAGAGCCCACCTTTTCTAGATAATGAACACAATATTTCTTAACATCCACATTCTCTGTTCTCTGCCTCAAAATATTTTGAACCTCAGTGCTTTCAGGTCTTGACCAAATTGCATGTATGGTAGGGTATGAAAATTTTCCTTCTGTAAGGTCTTCACAAAAGCTTTTATTCTCACAATACTCTGTGGAGTTTAGATTGGCATAGTCATCCCTGATTTGGAAAAACAACCCAAGTGTATTCAGCAGTGGTTTTAAGTCTTTTTTATATGAGGAGAACAACTGCATAAGGCCTACTGCTAACCCAAACAGTCCCCCTGTTTTTTGTAGCACCATAGATTTATACTGTTCTTCTGTAGGACAAGTATAAGTATCTCTCCAGTAAATATCCAGTCCCTGACCACGGTGGAGTTCAAGCAATTGCTGGGTAAAAACACAAACAGCATCTGGATGATTAAGAGTTAGAACTTTCTCCAAACCAAGAAAATATACATAATTAGCTGAATTTATTACTGAAGGAATCCCATATATACTGTGAGCCACTGGAAAACCTCGTCTAAGCTTGGAGTTGTCTTCAATGTCATCTATAAGTAAACTGGCATTGTGCAGCATCTCTGTCACTTCAATTATTACCTGAAATAAAAATGAGAATTCTATAACTTCTGCATTTGTGTTTCAAAGATACAAAAAGTAATTAAAACTACATCAAAACCAGAGTTAAAATTTTATGATTATATATTTAGGAAAATATTTAAAAAGTGACCATTTTAATAAGTATTGTGAAATTGTCTAAATATGTTTTTAACAAAAGAAGATATATGTTATTTTATTGCAAAGTATTTTATTTTATTATTAAAGCCTTTTTGTATCTTCTTCTGCTCCTTATTTTTTTGTCGAGTGAATCATATAATGTGAATGGTAATGGACTTAATAGTCCCTTTGAAAACCGATCCAGAAATGCCATATCGGCATTTTGGTCGCTGGGGCATTATAGACCCAGCAGTCTTTCCGGTATTCCAATCCAGAAATGACAACTGCAAAAAATTTGCAAGAGCATTATGGTCCTGTTAGTTTGCTTCCAGAACCAGAAATGATGTATCGGGATGGGATGCGATACGTCACAGATTTAGATAGGAGAGAAAGGACCACATCTCAACATACAAGAACTGCACTTGCCGATTGGAGAACCAATCCAAAAGTAATGGTCACATCTCCCCGTAAATAAGAGAACCTAGGAAGGAATACTTACCGTTTGAAAAAGCCTGCACAGGTAAAATGCTTCTCGGAGGGAGGAACACATTCATAGATCATTTTTTTTTTAGATTAAATAAATTACTTTGTACTAAAAAATTTTTTTTTTTTAAAACGAAAGTTCCTTTTGTTTCTTTGTATCCCGGTTAAAAGAAGGGTGTAATATGCCATATTGGGTATTGTGGAGAAGGTCCCACTCTCAATGCACAGTAAAACCTGTGATAAGGTTTAACTTACTTGAAATTCAGTGTCAGGCAAAGCACCCGGATTTTCCTTGCCCCCAACTGTCACTGGGGCCGTGCTTGGTCCAATCACAAGCTTCTCATAAAGAAGCCTATGATTGGTTTGCCAGCTCAAAGCACATGTGTGCTCTCCAGCCCAGTGAGTGGAGGTAGGGTTGTTTGTTTTTTTAAATAAAAACATCATACACAAAAATAAATAAGCGATGGAGGGAGGCAGAAGGGAGAGACTGCAGGAAGGGAGAGTAGATATATCTTACCCTTGCAGGCGCTCCGTCTGCTATCAGCGCACTGACAGACATAATTTAAACGTCAGAGTTTATATTAGGCAGCCCGGAGTTCTGTGATGCCTAAGTAATGTGTGCTGGGAGTGCAACTAGCCCCCAGCAAACACTTAAAAATATCTCAGTATGTGCATATCTACTCTCAGCACCATGACCAATTCAAATCACTCTAAAGGGGAAAAAAACAAACAAAACAAAAACAAAAACCTAACAATGAGAATTTCACAATATGCACATGCATGCTATCAGGTTTATTCACAAAGCTATACATTTGCAAAGGCCAAATTGATGAAAGCCATTTGGGACAAACAGGGACAATTAGAAGTAAATTAAACACAACTGAAACCTTTAGTAAGCAGCTCCCAAGCAATTTCTTACATAACTATTCTAATTAATCTAGAGAGAACTTAAAATTAGCGCTCTCCTATTCCCTCCCTTTCCGATTGTTAGGGTTAATAGTATAGTGGACGAACAGCCAAAGGTGTAGGACGGAGTATATTAAAACAGTTCTCCAAAGGAAAATTATGCATAACAATTATCTCCTCTTTCTGCCTATATCCTATAACCAAGTGTCATCTGTAGGTACTGTGACATATAGCAGTTAACAGCATGTGAAGTGTTCTCCTGTCAATCCTTTGTCAAACAAACATACTCTGCAGTCTCTTTCTATTTCTTTACACAACTTGATCACCTTTGGAAAGCCATCTACAGGTTAATTTGGAATAAAAAATACAATAAGTGCTCTCCTAATCCACTCCTCATCGTTGAAATACACAGGTAGCCTCCTGGCCCCACATTTGCTACTCCATTATAAAGCATTCCAATAAATCCAAACGAATCAGAAAGAATTTCCTGACAGCTCTGTGCATCTGGTGGATACTGGGGAAGCCAACACCAAGTTAGCCCTACTATCTTAAAGGCATTCTCTCACCTTGACCCAGCACCTATCAGACACAATATTCCATCTGCATCGGATAACCACACTAGCAATGCAGCTCCCACAAACTTATTTTGACATGTAAAAGTAGGGCATAAAAGTGACATGATTGTGGAATGAAATAGTTCCCCTACTAAAATTCCCTCTTTGTTAATCTTGCCCTAGAAAGTTATTATAGCTCCTCTTAATGCTATTATTTTTGCCCAGGAGCCATTATGCCACTGACATTGTGAAAAAGTTTGACTTTGTTCATCTTGACCCTAAACCTTAGCCCTAAATTACACAGGAAGCCACTGTAAAGATTGTTAAAATACTTGAGGAACAATGGGTAAGGAGGATTAGCTTGGTAGCAGCATTCATGATTAAATGTAATGGGATAATTTATGCATTGAGGACCCATGAAGATATAAATATAAATATATATATATATATATACACATATATACATACAGGGAGTGCAGAATTATTAGGCAAGTTGTATTTTTGAGGATTAATTTTATTATTGAACAACAACCATGTTCTCAATGAACCCAAAAAACTCATTAATATCAAAGCTGAATATTTTTGGAAGTAGTTTTTAGTTTGTTTTTAGTTATAGCTATGTTAGGGGGATATCTGTGTGTGCAGGTGACTATTACTGTGCATAATTATTAGGCAACTTAACAAAAAACAAATATATACCCATTTCAATTATTTATTATTACCAGTGAAACCAATATAACATCTCAACATTCACAAATATACATTTCTGACATTCAAAAACAAAACAAAAACAAATCAGTGACCAATATAGCCACCTTTCTTTGCAAGGACACTCAAAAGCCTGCCATCCATGGATTCTGTCAGTGTTTTGATCTGTTCACCATCAACATTGCGTGCAGCAGCAACCACAGCCTCCCAGACACTGTTCAGAGAGGTGTACTGTTTTCCCTCCTTGTAAATCTCACATTTGATGATGGACCACAGGTTCTCAATGGGGTTCAGATCAGGTGAACAAGGAGGCCATGTCATTAGATTTTCTTCTTTTATACCCTTTCTTGCCAGCCACGCTGTGGAGTACTTGGACGCGTGTGATGGAGCATTGTCCTGCATGAAAATCATGTTTTTCTTGAAGGATGCAGACTTCTTCCTGTACCACTGCTTGAAGAAGGTGTCTTCCAGGAACTGGCAGTAGGACTGGGAGTTGAGCTTGACTCCATCCTCAACCCGAAAAGGCCCCACAAGCTCATCTTTGATGATACCAGCCCAAACCAGTACTCCACCTCCACCTTGCTGGCATCTGAGTCAGAATGGAGCTCTCTGCCCTTTACCAATCCAGCCACGGGCCCATCCATCTGGCCCATCAAGACTCACTCTCATTTCATCAGTCCATAAAACCTTAGAAAAATCAGTCTTGAGATATTTCTTGGCCCAGTCTTGGCGTTTCAGCTTGTGTGTCTTGTTCAGTGGTGGTCGTCTTTCAGCCTTTCTTACCTTGGCCATGTCTCTGAGTATTGCACACCTTGTGCTTTTGGGCACTCCAGTGATGTTGCAGCTCTGAAATATGGCCAAACTGGTGGCAAGTGGCATCGTGGCAGCTGCACGCTTGACTTTTCTCAGTTCATGGGCAGTTATTTTGCGCCTTGGTTTTTCCACACGCTTCTTGCGACCCTGTTGACTATTTTGAATGAAACGCTTGATTGTTCGATCATCACGCTTCAGAAGCTTTGCAATTTTAAGAGTGCTGCATCCCTCTGCAAGATATCTCACTATTTTTGACTTTTCTGAGCCTGTCAAGTACTTCTTTTGACCCATTTTGCCAAAGGAAAGGAAGTTGCCTAATAATTATGCACACCTGATATAGGGTGTTGATGTCATTAGACCACACCCCTTCTCATTACAGAGATGCACATCACCTAATATGCTTAATTGGTAGTAGGCTTTCGAGCCTATACAGCTTGGAGTAAGACAACATGCATAAAGAGGATGATGTGGTCAAAATACTAATTTGCCTAATAATTCTGCACTCCCTGTATTTACAACAGTAAAGAATGTGCCTCTTATGACTTATACATGGATTTTTGGCAGAAAAATGTTTTCTTTTGCTTTAGGAATAAATGCATTACTATATTAACACAATTAACTGTACCTGGGTTTTGTCTTCTGGTACATTTAGCCAGTGGTTAAAGGCTTGGGATAATTTTGTCCTAATCTGTTTACCTGTAAAACATAATAATAAAAGCAATTATTTATTTAACTCTTTGTTTACACACACACACACACACACACATACATATATATTTGGCAATAGTTAGTCTTGAAGACACAGCTTCCTTCTTAAAAAGGTACAGGCAACGAATAGAACACAAACCTATGTTTTATGATTCCTATGTCAAAAAAGAGTACTTGTATAATTGGATTTGTATTCCTGAATTAACAGAACTCTCAAAAAGGAGGAATCATGCATAATACACACAAAAAAGTAATGAAATGGCTTTGGATTCTAAATCATGCTCATGCCATGTCACTGCTCTATTATCTGAGTGACAGGGTTATTCACTAAAGTGAGAATTATTATATTATTATTTATATAACGCCATCAGACTCCGTAGCACTGTACAATGGGTGGACTAACAGACATGACATGGGCGCCTGTTCTAAAGAAGGATATCATGGCACTGGAGAGGGTCCAGAGACGAGCTACAAAATTGATAAAAGGAATGGAGCATTTTAGTTATGAGGAAAGGTTAAAAAAATTAAATCTGTTTAGTTTGGAAAAACGGCGCCTGAGAGGGGATATGATAACTTTATACAAATATATTCGGGGCCAGTACAAACCTTTATCTGGAAATCTATTCATAAACAGGCTATACATAAGACACGAGTTAACACATTTAGGCTGGAATAAAGGAGATTTCATCTAAGGCAAAGAAAAGGTTTTTTTACAGTAAGAACAATAAGGATATGGAATTCTCTGCCTGAAGAGGTGGTTTTGTCAGAGTCCATACAGATGTTTAAACTGAAATTGGATAAATACTTACAAAAACATAACATACAGGGATATAATTTCTAATTAGTGGGGTAATAGCAACTTGATCCAAGGAGACCTCTGACTGCTATTTTGGGGTCAAGAAGGAATTTTTTCCTAGTTTGTGGCAAAATTGGAAGCGCTTCAGACCAGGTTTTTTGCCTTCTTTCGGATCAACAGCAACAACATTTTTGTGAGGAAGGCTGAACTTGATGGACGCAAGTCTCTTTTCAGCTATGTAACTATGTAACTATGTAATTGTAACCAGAAAACTGGACGCACAGGAACAGAGGGGGTGGAGGGACCTGCTCAATGAGCTTACGTTCTAGAGGGAGTGGGGTACAGTGACACAAAGGGTAAAAGTAGGGGTACGAAGTAGGTGGTTAGAAAAAGTATTCACGGAGGGCTTAGTAGGTAATTTTTGACAGTTGCAGGAAAAGAGTCATGAGAGGTGAGGGATTAAAATCTGCTAACAGTTTAGTTGATATGCTTTCTTGAAGAAGTGAGTTTACAATGATTTTTGGAATGAGTGGAGACTGGGTGAAAGTCTTACGGAGAAGGGAAGGGAGTTCCACAGAAGAGGTGCAGCCCTGGAAAAGTCTTGGAGGCGAGCATCAGGATCATGGAGGCTGTGGCAAAACTAGCCACTTCAGACTGTATGTGTATCAATGTGTTGCTGTGACCTTAAGAATGTGAGAGCCAAGCATGTACCTATTTTTTCATGTTATGCGAACGAGAGCATTCGTATGCTGGCGGCAGAAAAGCCACCAGCATTCATACAGTAGTTTCACGAACAGTGACTTTCAACACTGTTCGTGAAACGAATAAACTACCGAATGAGAGACCACACACAGGTGGTCGTGTGGCTCTCATTAAGCATTGCAACAATGTATCCTTCGGTAATTATTGAGATTCAGAGTGGCCGCCGTTCAGCTACCGACCACGGTCGGCCATCTTGGATCCTTTGTTACCCCAGCAGTATTTGGTCGTTGAGCGCCTGGAACTGAAATCGGCTACTCGACGGCACGAATACCGCTGGACTTCCAGGCCGTTCGGGAGTGCTGGTCATTTGGTAGTTTGTTTCCCTATATGCATTGAATCCTTTGAGGTGAATGTAAAATAATATGCGTTTTCGTGCGGCGTTCGGTTATTTAGACTGGGATCTGAACGGTACTTTCACGAAAGGGGTGCTCAGACCCCAGCTATCTACCAAACGGTCATTCGGTAAAATAACATGAATAATGTAGAAGTTATGGATTTTTGTGTGAAATGTAAGTTCTGCTGCACGGAGGGATAAGCCACTTAACTGGCTATTCTAGTGGGAGTATCCCTCTCGTGTAGCAGTGCATGATGGGAGAAATGTCCGGGTTGTTAAGTTCCCCACGTAGTCCTCTACTGTACAACCCCTGTAATATCAGTAGGGAAACCCCTTGCCTGGGGAACTGCATAAATACTGTGACCTGTGATTAAAAGCTCAGTTGACTCCCAGCCTATGTGTCATATAGTTCTTGGGAAGGAAGGATTTATACAACGCTACCAGGTTTATTGCATGCTGTACTCATTTTGCTTGAAGGATTCTATGCTGTTCCTGTTACCCAGCGGAGATATTGTGGATTATACTACCTCTCCGCTACAACTGGTGGCAAGCGACGGGATTTCAAACACCCAGCAAACCAGCGTTCGGCAGTAACCACGCGAATAACGAAGAGAAGCAGCAGTTTGCCAGAACAAGCCATCCGGATAAAAACAGTGTTCGGTAGATATGTCAAAATATATGAACAACTGGTGAATGGAGGCGATTCATGCAACATTGAAAAAAACTACACTAAAATAATTATTGGAGGCAAGGGGAAAAAGCGCCAGCAATAAAACTAAGGCAACCCTTGTGGCAGAACTGATGGAAGGAGACAGAGAAACCACTGCAGCAGCGCCACAGGAAATTGACCGCAATGAATTTGACAAGGAGATGAGGAGCAGGCTCGCCTTTTATCCAGAGACACCCCCTGTGGAGATACTATCCCGACTATTGGCGGACGTACAGGAGTATCTAGTGGTCAGACTCCAAGCAAATCAGCGGGCACCTGACGCGTTTCGGCAATAAGCCTTCGTCCTTATTGCCGAAACGCGTCAGGTGCTCTCTGGACTTTTTTCTTAAGGGACTTTCTTTTGTATGTGTAGTTTTTTATTTATTCCTTTTTGTTTGACAAATAAATCTTACTATTACCCCTTGAACCTGCGTTTCCTGGTGGTGCATGGAATACAACTACAGAAAGGACCCAGTGAAAGCCCAATAAGAGTTTTGATTCAAGGCATGCAAGTTTGAGCCAGCTATCTAAGTGGCTCTTTTTATGTGAGTGAGACCAGTAGTAGAGTCTTTACAATTTACTATTACGTTATTACCCTATGTTTTTTCTCTCTATCTGTGTTTATTTTCAGATTAGAATCCAGTTTGGGTAATATTATTGTATAAGTTTCTGTTCTATTTGAGTGCTCTCACCATTTGTATTTCTTACTGTCACTTGTATTTATTTAGTGGTTCTTTGTGGCTCCACTAAGGTGATTGTAGCACCATTTTCCTTGTTTGTTTTTTTCTTTAGGATTTTTTCACCAGTATATTTTATTATCATTCAAAAGGAGTGCCTGGCTGTGGTGTGGGCCCTCAAAAAGCTGCAACCATATTTGTACGGACAACCCTTTATCTTGCTCACAGATCACAACCCGTTGGTGTGGCTGAACAGGGTGTCAGGAGACAATGCCTGGCTGCTGCATTGGAGTTTGGCGCTGCAGCCATTTGACTTTACTATTCACTACCGCCCTAGGAAGCAAAATGGCAACGCCAACGGGTTATCCAGACAAACAGACATTGAAAAGTGATCTGTGAGCCCTCCTCCAGAAATCCCTAAGCCGATCCATTGGGATCAGACTGTGTATGCTGGCTTGGTTCTGGGGGAGCACTGTGGCAAAACTAGCCAATTCAGACTGTATGTGTATCAATGTGTTGCTGTGACTTTAAGAATGTGAGAACCAAGCATGTACCTATTTTTTCATGTTATGCGAACGAGAGCATTCGTATGCTGGCGGCAGGAAAGCCACCAGCATTCATACAGTAGTTTCACGAACAGTGAATTTCAACACTGTTTGTGAAACAAATAAACTACCGAATGAGAGACCACACACAGGAGGTTGTGTGGTTCTCATTAAGCATTGCAACAATGTATCCTTCGGTAATTATTGATATTCAGGGTGGCCGCCGTTCGGCTACCGACCACGCGGCGGTCGGCCATCTTGGATCCTTTGTTAGCCCAGCGGTATTTGGTTGTCGAGCGCCTGGAACTGAAATCGGCTACTCGACGGCACGAATACTGCTGGACTTCCAGGCTGTTCGGGAGTGCCGGTCATTCAGTAGTTTGTTCCACTATATGCATTGAGTCCTTTGAGGTGAATGTAAAATAATGTGTTTTCGTGCGGCGTTCGGTTATTAAGACTGGGATCTGAGCGGTACTTTCACGAAAGGTGTGCTCAGACCCCAGCTATTTACCAAACGGTTATTCGGTAAAATAACATGAATAATGTAGAAGTTATGGATTTTTGTGTGAAATGTAAGTTCTGCTGCACGGAGGGATAATCCACTTAACTGGCTATTCTAATGGGAGTATCCCTCTCGTGCAGCAGTGCATGATGGGAGAAATGTCCAGGTTGTTAAGTTCCCCATGTAGTCCCCTACTGTACAACCCCTGTAATGTCAGTAGGGAAACCCCTTGCATGGGGAACTGCATAAATAATGTGACCTATGATTAAAAGCTCAGTTGACTCCTAGCCTATGTGTCGTATAGTTCTTGGGAAGGAAGGATTTATACAACGCTACCAGGTTTATTGCATGCTGTACTCATTTTGCTTGAAGGATTCTATGCTGTTCCTGTTACCCAGCGGAGATACTGTAGATTATACCAACTCTACAGAGGCAAATGGCAGTAGCGAGATAGGCCGGTAGTTGGATTGGGAGTTGGGCTTTTTCAGAATCGGGGTTACAGTTGCATGTTTGAGGGGTGAGGGAAATGTGCCAGAGGAAAGGAGAGATTGAAAATTTTAGTTAGAGGAAGAGCAAGAGAGAGAGACAAAGTGCAGGTGAGATACGAGGGAATAGGATCGAGGAAACAGGTGGTGGGGCAGGAGGACCGGAGCAGAGCAGAAACCTCTTCTGCTGTAGCAGGTGCGAATGAGTTTAGAATGGTGGAGGGAGTGGGTTTGGGTGATATATTGGTAGGGGAAGGAGAGAAAATAGAGATCTCTTCTCTGATTGTAGAGATCTTCTCAGTGAAGTGAGATGCAAAGTTTGTGGCGGACAAGGTGGTAGAAGGAGGAGATTAAAAGGGCGAAGAAGAGCATCAAAAGTGTTGTAACGGAGCTCCCCATACTCCGACCCTCTGTTGATGGACGCTTCCTAGCTTGCGCCAAGGACCACAACCGCCATAGCTTAACTGGAATCTTCAGGACCGTGTGGGGGAAGACCTCTCCTCCAGGAGAGCATAACAGCTCTTAAAAGAGCTTAGTGATTTAAAGCTCAAGGGAGTATGCAGAGCATATCAATCCCCAGTGTGATTATAACAGCTCCCTCCAATAACGAGACTAGGCTACGTTTAGAGGAATCAAGAAGAACTGTCTAAACCTTTATTTTACTTGGGACTAGCCCATATGGTCATTACATTAACATTGCTGTGAAAACTCAATAAAATTACAAACAGTCAAATCATAGCAGGCAACATACAGTGACTTATAACACAATGGCATATTTTTAAAGGGGTGGGGGAGACAATAATTAACAGAAAATATCTCACGTGCCTGCAGAATGAGCAATATGCAAATCTACCCGAATATGCAAAGTCTTGCTATTCAGGTAGTGCATATTGCTGTTGCAACCAACAGAGGGCACTAGACAAGCTCCATAGCCAAATCCACCTAGTTGGTAGTAAACCTCAACAGTACAGGAGAGCAGGCAATACATTTCACAGTACACACACACACACACTATAAACAATTACATTACACACACTCTGCACCTACAATGGGTACAGGGTGACTAAAACATAAGAGAAATAAAGCAGCCTACATAAATAGTCTGTCTGAAGGTAGTATAGGGGCTTTAAAGCCAAATACATCAAAGAGTCATAGTCACCGGGGAGGAGGCTGGCAAGCAGGCCTCTCCAGGACCAAGTGGCGAAGGGCACTTCGTTACAAGTGTGAAATAGGTGTATGGGTTGATAGGATAGTGTACTTATGAGGGTATTAAAGTAATTTAATTTTACAGCGGAAAGAGCCAGGCTGTAGGAGCACACATAAATTTATAGTGGAGAAAGTCAGATGCAAAGTGAGACTGTCTCCAGCCGCGTTCAGCAGTTTTAGAACATTTTTGGAGGTAATGGGTCAGCTTGGTGTGCCAGGGTTGTAATTGGGGGCGCTTGCTGTGTTTAATTTTACGAGGTGCCATGATGTTGAGTTGAGAGGAGAGCGTTGAGTTGTAGAGTGAGGTAGCAGAGTAAGAAATAGAAAGATGGAAATAGCTAGATAGATGGAAATAGCTAAATAGAAGTCAGATGCAAAGTGAGACATTCTCCAGCAGCGTTCAGCAGTTCTGGAAAGATTTTAAGGTAACGGGTCAGCTTGAGCCATCTTCTGGTTTGTAGCAGGGAACCTTTTAAAACTCAGACTGTGGAAGACATATGATAGGGTCAAAAAAGGCTTGCAATAAAACTATGGAATGGAGATGCAAAGAGGAGGTAAGGATTGGTCAAGCAAGACCATTCGGGTAGGTACCAATAAAATAAGGGGGAGGGGACCAAAAATAACAGAAAATCTTTAGAGATAAGCAGATAGTTGAATAACATTTAACAAACCAACAATGATGAGTAGGGTAGGGAACAACTAGCTTTAGCATGCAGAACAAGACAAACTACAAAATGTATGTATGAATAAGCACGTACACACACATACACAATAAAGAACAAGCATGCACAGGTATGTTACAGTGACAAAGAAATAGTGGTTTAAAGGATCACTATAGTGTGAGGAAAACATAGCGTCACTATAGTGCCCCCAACCTCAGGGTCCCCCTCCCGTGGCGCTGAAGGGGCTAAAACCCCTTCAGCAGCATACCTTAATCCAGCGCCCGGCGCTGGTGACCTCTCCTCCCCCGCCGATGTCAGTGGAGCCACAATAGCTCAAAGCCTTTGTCCACTCCAGCCGCCGATACAGTGTGTGATGTCATATCCGGCAGCTGCGTGGTGGCAGCCCTACAGTATGCAGAGTGGCTGGCTCCGTTCAGAGCAGGCCAGCCACTCCCTGTTCCTCCTGCTTGCTGTATAGCCTGCTTGAGCACGGACGATCGGGGAACTGGAGTATTGTGAGGTAGGGTAAAATGAGACTGGGGGACCTTCCGGTATTGCATTACACTGGGGGTAGGGAGAGGGGGTAATGTATTAAATTAGAGGGTTAGAAAGGGAAGTGTATTTGATTGGGGAAGCAGGGGAGGGAAGGCAGTGTATTGAATTGGGGGAGTAGGGGAGGGCAGTGCATTGAATTGGGGAAGCAGGGGAGGGAGGGCAGTGTATTGAATTGGGGAAGCAGGGGAGGGAGGGCAGTGTATTGAACTGGTGGAGAGGAAGGAGGGAGATACAAATTGAGGGAGATGGGGGAGTGTATTAAATTTGGGTTAGGGAGATGGGGAGTGTATTAAATTAGGGGAAAGGAGGGGAAAAAGGGCAGTGTATTAAATGTTTCGTGCTAATAGTCTTTAAACTCATAAATATGTATTTTTTTGGTATGAGTTGATATTTATTTTATCATGTTTCCCTCTACAGCCTGAACCCTTATGCCCCCTACACAACAGCACAATAAATAAATACTGAAGACCATTATACACACACAGCAGCCCTAATGCTTGGGAGACTTTGCTGAACAGAAATAATAGTATTTCAAAACAGTAAAATGCATCACAACAATATCATCAGCGAAAGTGCCGTTTGTGTGTGAAAAATGCTAAATAAACTGACAAATCACTGACAATTTCATCACTGTGATACATTTTACTGTTTGAAACACTTTCTGTTCAGCGAAGTTTCCCAAGTAAAACAGTACCCCCTCATGTACAGGTTTTATGGTGTCTTGAAAAAGTAAAGGGTTAAATATAGGGCTTGCAAACCAAATTCTGTCGACTTTCTGCTTGGGTTGTCAGGCAGGTCTCTCAAATCATAATTAATAAAATGACTTATGTAATGATGTAAAAATATTACATAAATATATACGTAGAGTTTATAGAGAGAGCGAGAGATATCCATATATATTGATGTACATAGAAGCAAAAAGAACAGCACTCCAGGGATTTTGTATTAGTTGAAATAAGCCAACTTTTATTCATTCCATTAAAATGATGTCAACGTTTCAGCTCCAGCATGGAGCTATCATCAGGACAAACAATAAATCCCCAATGTGCAAACATAAGAAAATATATCCCAACTACATACTAATCACACCCACATTGTGTATTTACCGAGCCTGAGACTGCCCACATTACAGCTGGATGAGATGCACAACCTCTCTCTGGTGCCCTCGTGGGTTGTATCATAGCAGCCAGTGGAACACACATCTTGGAGTAAGATCGCTGTGTGAGTGGGCGATCAACTAAAACACTAAATGTGTAAATCTAAGTGTGTGGGCTGATCAGTGAGCCCATTGCCCAGACGGATCTGCCACCTGTCAAAGTGGTCTAAAGTATTATGAGCCCGCTGTCCTTAAGGTTAATGTAGTTGTTCTGGTGTATATAGCTTGTCCCTGCAGGACTTTCAAGGTTTCCCAATTAATGTTCCAGGCAATCCTGGGGTTCCGCAAGAACAAAATTGGGGTTCCGCTGCGATCTGACCATCGGGTGGCCCATGCACATAGGGGCTATAATCGCTAAACAAGGGCACGACCAGGTGTCGTGGCTCTTTAAGAGCCTGACGGGCCCCTGCACTATGGGCGGACTGGGAGGAAGTGACAGCACTTCCTCCCAGCCTCATTAGAGAAACAAACGTGCAGAAGGAATGCAGTGAGTGATCACCAGGCTGGAGGCAGCAGCACACAGCATGGAGACAGAGGAGAGGCTGGGAGTGAGCTACTGCTGCTTGCCCACTCCCATCAGCCTCAGACTGGACCAGACCTCCAAGCAAGCCACCCTTCTGCACACCAAGGTAAGCTAATACAAATATTGCTTACACAAACACCCCTGTATTAAGAAGCTAGAATTACATGTACCAACTTTACACAAAAAGGCACCCCTGCTCCTATGTACTACAATCTGTTTACTATCTGTAGAAATTGGTGTATGTATGGCAGAAAAACTAATTTGCTATAAAAGACACTCTGCTAATTAAATGGTTTGCGCTATGGTGCCAAAAATTTTTTTGGGGGGGGTTTCACGATGTTGATACACTATGTCAAAGGGTTCCACGTGAAAAATTGATTGGGAACCCCTGTATTAGCATGTACGATTACGAAGAGGGTGAAAGAGAGCTTGTACTTCAAGCTATCTCTTAGCTACGGATAAAGCCACGTGGTCCGCCGCACTTGCTAACTGCAAATCTCATCACACTCATCCAACTGTGTAGGCAGATCTGTGGCTCAAGGGGAGTATGACAATTAAAAGCAAATAAAATTGCTTAATATATACTCCCCAAATCAATATTGAAGGGGGAGCATATTAAAAATAATTGCTAAAGGCAGGGAAATTGGAAACCAGAACAGCATACACTCTTATCGCTATAGAATTATTGTGTGTGTCACCATATCCAAGACTAAGAAAAAGTGCATTTGAATCCCCATACAATACTGTAAAAATATATAGAAAAAAAACCATATCAAAGATGATAGCACATTATTACCATATGTACTAGAAAACATACCAGCAGTTCTAAATTAGGGGGCTCTGGACAGCTGCACAAGGTGGATACAAAGATAGAGATGAATGTATCCATCATACTAATTACAAAGTAAACAAAACTAGAAACATGAAGATATTGTATCTTAGAAAAATATTTTGCACCCCATCCCTGTCACAGGTGCCTCTTCCCAGGGCCCTATTTAGCCTTGTACTGCAGAGAGCCCCAGATGGATTTTTTTCCCCCAATTAAGTGGGTTAATCTCATAAGAGCAAACAGGTTGTTAGCATAGGACCTGCCAAAGATGGGGTGCATAGACATTGTGGCAGGCTTATGCAATGTATGATCATATAATGTTAATAAACCCCCATTATTTTTGCCGAGATTGGGTGTTTTTTTTAAAAAAAATGAATAAAATCGGTCACCATTGAAGTTGCAATAGCAATCAAAATACAGTTAGAACAAAATTACACATGCATATATAATTTTTATTTATAATTTTTTTACTTGTTTATTTTAGATTTGTATATATATATATATACACACACACACACACACAATTATAACTATACATATATATGATATAAGTATATATTTTTTTAATTACTGTTTTAAAAATTATTACAGGCATCAGGGGTCATTCCATGCAGTCCCCCTGCAGGCACAGCTTTGGACGACTATTCCGTCCATGTGGTCGCGACGTCAGGGGGACTGCCTGGGATGCTAGGCAAGTCCCCCCATTGCGATCGCCGGCGACCAGGTAAGTGGTAAGGACGGCAGACGTACTATGCCGCACACCAGCATTTAGGATCAGGTCCCCAGGGACAGCATAGTATGCCCGCTGTCCTTAAGGGGTTAATGTAGTCGTTCTGGTGTCTATAGCTTGTCCCTGCAGGATTTTCAATGTAAACGCTGTCTTTTCAGAGCAAACCCTTCAGAGCAAACGTCCCTACTAAGTATTATGTTTTCAACACAAATAGACCAGAAATGGAAAAAAGATTCTGAAAGAGGTAGAGAAGAAATAACAATAGAAGGAAGGCAAGCTTGAGATGGCAGGTCCCAAGATGTAGGTACTGACAAACATCAGAGTTCAAAAAAGGAGGGAAACAAAAAAAAATGGCAAATTAGGAAAGGAAGGAGAAGGAAATAGATCTTAAACAGCAAAACAATTGAGAAACAAAGTCTTGAGGTAATGAAGGAATGACGTGATGAGGAGTACGACCAAGTCTAAGAGCAATACTGGAAGCCAGTATTTCTGTAAGGGGCCCGGTCAAACAGATGTGTGTGGGTGGGTGTAGCAGTGTCTGGAATGTGCCTATGTTTGCATTTATCTCTGGGAGTGTATATTGAAGTGCCTATCTGGTAGAATGTGTGTGTTTGGAAAGGTATCGTGGAGCTGTGCCAGTATGGTTGTAACGGGCCCCAAGAAGTTTGATGGTGGCCCTGGGAGCAGTCCATTAGTAGATATTACAATGTGAACTCTGTAGGAGTCTACCCTGTAAATGGTACTCTATGAATGCAATGCAAACCACAAATGAACAGAGGGTAGGACAGTCTGAAACGAAGTCTAGAGTGTAGCTTTCAGTAGAGGGTAACCTATGCCAGGAGGGAAGCATTGACACAGAGAGCAGAGGGGTGAGGGGAGGGGGGGTTAAGACACAAGGTGGGATTGAGGGAGGAGAGAAAGTATGGAAAGTATGTTCAAATTTCAGTGAGGTGTGAAAACGTTTAGGTACTGATGTAAAGAAAATACAAATACAAAAAGATAAGTCCTGCGCTCACTCCCATCACTACTGGGCCGGCAGCAATGACTACAGTACACATCAGCCCCAATATATAGTAAAAACCAAAGAAAGCAGGGTGAAGGGTCAGTTTAGGACCATTCCCAAAATATAACACATCCCCTGATAGCCCTGATCTGGGTGAACAACATATCCAAAAATCACCCAGATCAGTTCAGTGGTTCAGAAATTTCCTGGAAGTTTTATTTTTGCCCCACCGTGCACATGGTCCCATGCCCAAAACAGTTCCATACACTCGACAACAAAACACTGCTGGACAATTTAAGATGGCTGCCACCACATGTTTGAATCTGTTCCAGTTAAAAGTCCAAGGGGCAGAAACAGTACTTTTGAACATGAGTTATCACAGGGCCCATAGTCCCAGGGTAGGAGGCTGGCAAACAGGCCACTCCAAAAAACAGTGGCGAGGTTACTTTCGCCACAGCAGGGGAGGGAGCTTTGCCACAGGGAGGGAGGCTTTGACAAAGGAAAGAGAGGGGGGGTTAAGACACAAGGTGGGATTGCGGGAGGAGAGACACCTGAAATAGAATGGAACAGAGGCTTCTCTATGACAAGCTTCTGATTGGACAATTGTCTGTGAAGTGACTGAAAGTCACTTCCTGTGAAAAAGGGGATGGCTTACAAAAGCTACAGTCATAAGAACTGCAGATTTTGGAAGCTGTTTTAGACTGTAACCCCAATGAATTCATACATAAAAATATACATGCATTTATGCTCTCCTTTTTCAAACTCTTCAATCACTCAGTCTTTGTGACTCGTCCTCTCATGGTTTTCCTCTTATTTCTCCCAATGCTCATTCAGTATCTCCTTTTCTAATGATACCTCCTCCCCTCGTCCTGTCTCGGCTGGAGTTCCCTCCCTGTCGTTGGTCCCCTTCTATTTTCTCTTTATACTGCCTCTATTGGCAAACTTATTACCTCACTTGGATTCCACTACCACCAGTATGCTGATGACAACCAGATATATCTCTCCTCCCCCGACCTCTCCCCTGCCATCCTGCAACGTCTCACTGGTTGCCTTTCTTCCATCTCTGACTTCTTCCATGTCCTCCCGCTTTCTGAAACTCAATATCTTTAAAACTGAGCTCCTTATCTTTCCTCCTCCTAATACTGATCCTCCTCTTTCGCTCTCCCTTCAAGTTAGTGGTATCCACATAAGTCCATCCTTGCAAGCACGCAATCTTGGCGTCATACTTTATTTTGGCCCCACCTTTGAGCCTCATGTCCAGTAGGTTGCCAAATCCTGTAGATTCCATCTTAAAAATATAGCCCGCATCCGCCACTTTTTTACACAAGATGCTACCAGGGAGCTTGTACATGCTCTAGTAATTTCCCTCATGGATTATTGTAACTCTCTCCTAATTGGTCTTCCCAAAAACCATATTGCCCCACTACAGTCTCTCTAGTGAGTCCTCTCACAGCTCACACCGGCTTCCTGTATCCTATAGGAGTCAATCCAAAGTGCTAAGCCATACCTATAAAGCACTGAACAATTCTAGCCCGTCTTATACCGCGTCACAGATCCAAAGTATGCCCCTTCTCGGTCTCTCCGCTCTGCGGAGTCACGCTTGCAGGACTTCTCGCGGGCTGCTCCCTTTGTATGGAATAGTTTGCCTACCACCATCAGACTCTCCCCTAATCTTCAATTGTTTAAGACGTGCCTTAAAACCCATCTCTTTAGGAAAGCTTATGGCCTCCCAGAGTAACCTCTACCTTACATACCTTTCTCTTGCTCTCTCCTAAAGGGCAGCACTCTACTCTCTCCTCCAGCTCTGCTTCACTCCTACCTTATTTAAAGGCTATTTCCTGTCCTAATGTGTTTTATACCTCACCTCCTATAGACTAAGCTTGTTTGAGCAGGGTCCTCTTCAACCGATCGTTCTTGTAGTTTTCTTGTAATTGTCCTATTTATAGTTAAATCATAATATTGTAAAGTGCTACGGAATCTGTTAGTGTTATATAAATGGCAATAATAATAATAATAATAATAATAATAATAATGAATTGGGCTATATCTACTAAACTGTGTGTGTGGGGGGGTTTGAAAAGTGTGGAGTGGTCCTTTGACCCAGACGTTAGGGCGTGCTATTTTAATGAATAAAATAATCCGATATATATAAACACATAAATAGATTTAGAATATGAAACACTATGCCGGGATGGAAGGTCGAGCTAAAATATTTCTACCATTTGAAGAGATTTGCGCTCGGGCAGAGCCATTACACCGTGGCATTTCTACCCTGTACCAGTTGCTCCTTTCTGCAGACAAACCAACACCATTTAAGTTTAAAGCTTTATAGGAAGAGGACTTGCAGACATCTTTCTCTGATCAAGAGTGGACAAAATGCTCACAATGACTTATTCGGGTTCTCAAAGACAAATTCTAAATTGCTCACGCAATGGTATGACTCTTTACAAAAGTTTTACCGGTTCCTTCCTGAAATACCTGTTTTTTTTGTATTTTTTTTTGGAATAACGCCAGCAATCTAGATGTGTGAGTGGTTGAACTGTTAAACTGCATTCTAAACCGGTTTATGATAGCTGGTGGCACATTTTACTGACCCCCCCCCCCAAACCAAACTGCAATAACATAGCTAATGCAAATTTCCACTAAATTATCATGTGTGCTTGGGTAAACAATCTGAAAACACACATCCTTATTCAAATTGTTTGCTGGAGTAATTAAAACATAACCGTAACAATATTTATAGAAAAGGTTGAAGAATTGAATAACAAATTAAGGTAAAATTCTGTCGGTCTTTCTCAAGATCGTGTTCTCTCTATCATACATAGAACACTATCTTGAGAAAGACAGTCAGAATATTCAATTACTCATTTACTCTCTGCCTTTCACCCATTTTTTACCTTCACTCCCTTGTGGGGTTTTTTTACCCCTTCCATCAGGATCTTGAGAAGCCACCTGGTTTAATTTTAATTGAGAATAAATAAGTGGTCCCATGTTGACTATTTATAATTATTTTCTAGCAGAGTCCTTGGTAACATTTTACCAATTAGTGATATTACAAACTGTTTTTCTTAGTTTTATGAATTATAATATTTAATGAGTTCTGTCTCAAATTAATACAAGCTATAATTTAAACAACATGCAATATAATAGTTTAATTTTTTTCCATACATAATATTTTTTCCCCAATTCAATAAGCTTAGAATGTAAGAAAGAAAAAGAAAATACAGAGTAGAACAATACCCGGAAGCTGAAGCAAATATTTGTATGGCTCCATGATAATTCGTTCTGATGTCTCTCTGGGGTGTGTCATCTTTTATCTACAAAGAAATAAATTGCACAAATTAGTTTATAAAATATTTTTTTTTTTTTACATCCAAATTCCATTTCTATTTGATCACAAGCATTAACAATAGGATATACCTGTGTTTAGTAAATAATCATGTTAAGGTTTCTCCGTCTCCCCACTCCAAAATAAGTATTTCAAAAAGATTCCAACCCAGTCAAAAAATATAAAAATTACTTTTTTGTATTACTAATTTTCAAGCTTGACAAAATGTTTTACATTGCAGGGTTAAACTGACAAGACCACTGCACACAGACCACATCGCTGAGCTGAAGAGTTCTGGGTGGCTCTAGAGGTTCTTTAACATAGTAGCTGGTGGAAGAGAAGTAACTGAAATATTTGTGTTTATTAATCAAAAGTTTGTTTTTGTTGTTTTAAATGTGGTGAAAATGTAGTTGCTGGTTTCACTAGTCACTGCACCACTCTTTATTATTATTTTTTTTAATACTTTGATAAGTCTCTTCTCCTCTTCTCGCTCCCTATAAAAGATTTTAAAAAAAGCATACCTGCAGTCAGAAGCCAAGGCCGTAGCTCTTTCTGGAGCCCAAACCTTCCCCAACGAGGCCGTGATGTCTCAGAGAAAAGTCTGAGGGAGGGACCACCTTTGGTTGTCTTTTGCCAGCATACTGTGTATGTTGATTACAGAAGCCTATTATACACAGAACTAAAATTAGCCAGCCCCGAACACTTGTTTTCCAGGCTGGCTAATTATTTCGCACAAGTCCTGCAGCAAAGTTCTCTGTGTATATTGAAATGATGCACATACCAACTCCAAGCACCAATTGACCACTTCAAATCAGTTAAAGGACCACTAAAATCACCCAGACCATTTCATCTCAATGAAATAGTCGAGATGCATTGGTCCTTTCAATTTGACTCTGCACTGTACAACATTGCAGGTTAGTACATTGCATGGTTAAATACATCTCTAGTGACTATCTTACTGACTAATAATGTTTTATTTTACAGCCAACCAATCAGAGCACTCTAAGTAAAATTGCACAGCGTGGGAAGGCTTTATAAGCCTTTCCCAGCCATGCAAAGCTTAGTCTGCACAGAGCCCTCGCTAGGTGAAGATTAATTTTTTTTTAAATTGTATAATTTTAATAGTTCGATGGGACATTATGGATTTACAGATAGTTTAATAGCCCCCATTTGCCGAGCATGGGTGGAGGCTGGAGGGGGACACTATCCCCCCCCCCCTGTTAGTTATTTATATATGTGACCCACTATGGGAGCTTGGGGGACCTGTGTCCAGTCCCCATTTATTTTTATATAACAGTGCGCAGCTGGTAGATATGCCACTACTCTGAACAGCAACCTTATTCTTATATGGGATTATACTGACCCCCACAGAGTGAGGGGGGACGCATATGGAGGATTTAGGAAGTATTACAAGGAGGGAGCGTGAGTCCCTTCCTTGTAATAAACTAAATGAAAGAAGACTGAATTGCAATTCGTTCTTCACTTCATTCAATGTAATTTCTGTTTTTTCATTTGTCAATAGCTGAAATTTAGACAATTCAAATGCCCAAGTGCAAGTGTTCAACAGGGCATGCGTGTGAATTTCACAGACCGAGCTAGTGTAAGCAGATGAAGCCCATGCGGTACACGTCATCCAGGAACCACTAAAATGGGGGTGCCTAGCGCATGGATCAGGACAAGAAATAAAGAGGTTAAAAAAGGTGAAAGGAGGGTTTAAAATTAAAAAAAAGAAGATGTGGACATGGCAGAGCCGTTTTAAAATTTACTGGGCAAAATGGGGGTTTACAGTGATCATAAAACGGTAAATATGAATTATTTCCGGGACCAGTCAATTACTTCAACCCCTTAGTGATCGGGGACGTACCAGGTACGTCAGACAAAAATCGTCTGTTAACGACCTCGGACGTACCTGTTACGTCCGCAGCTATTTTGAGCGCTGGAAGCGATCGTGATCGCTTCCAGCCGCTCTTTTGGTATTACATGATGCCTCGATATCGAGGCATCATGGAATACCCCCCTACACTGCCGGGGACCCCATGTGATCGCTCCCCCCAGAGCGATCACTTCCGGGTTTGCCACACGTGGTGCCCGGCATTGAAGGAAGAGCATCTGAGTGCCTCGAGGGGTCAAGGCACTCAGTAACAGTTGTAAAAATTACAATATTGGGGGGGGGGGGGATTAAATAAATAAAAAAAATTTAAAAAAAAGTTTCCTACCCTCCCCCCCTTCCCTACGTACTTACCGATTGCCGCATTCCCCCGCCGGCGATCGGTCTTCTTCTTTGCAGGTACTGGACTGAGCCCAGAGCGTCCCCCCTCTCCAATTTAGGAACCCCAGGGTCCATGTGACCGCTCTAAAAGAACGATCACATGGCCCCCACAGATGTCCATTGTGCTGCCAGCAGGGGGACTGCCTGAACTGCCCCTGCTGGTGGAAAAATAAATAAAAGTTTAAAAAAAAATGTATATATGAGATATTGGAAGGCGGAGCCTGAAGTTTAAACTCAGGCCCCCTACACCACAGGGCTGATGCTGCCGGGTTCATTTCTACTTCCGGTTCAAAGGTCATCGAAGCAGACTGCCTAAAACTCCAAACAAGCTGGTCTGGGCATACTGTGGCTCCCACGCCGGTCGGACCAAGTTCTCCCTGCTCTAACAACTCCCATCATGCTGTTCCAGCCACATGCGGTTAAAGACTTCCATGCCGTTCAGACCAAATTCTCCCTGCTCCAACAACTCCCATCATGCTGATCCAGCCACACAGGGTCATAGACTCCCACGGCAATCGGACCAAGTTCTCCCTGCTCTAACAACTCCCATCATGCTGTTCCAGCCACACACGGTCAGAGACTCCCATGGCGATTGGACCAATTTCTCCACCAACAACTCCCATCATGCTGTTCCAGCAACACAGGGTCAGAGACTCCCACGGCGATCGGACCAAGTTCTCCCTGCTCCAACAACTCCCATCATGCTGTTACAGCCACACAGGGTCAGAGACTCCCACGGCGATCGGACCAAGTTCTCCCTGCTCTAACAACTCCCATCATGCTGTTCCAGCCACATGCGGTTAGAGACTTCCATGCCGTTAGGACCAAGTTCTCCCTGCTCCAACAACTCCCATCACACTGTTCCAGCCACACGTGGTCAGAGACTACTCACCTCCTCTCCGGAACTGGCAGTTTGTTCCTGTCAGCACTATGAGACCCCTTCCCGGCCCTTTTCCTGGACCAAACCTCTGTGTCCGCCGAGTCTGGGTACTTTCCAGGCGCATAGCTGACCTTTCACCTCATCGCAGCTTCCGGGTCAATTTGTTTGCTTCCTGTATCAGTCAAATCCACGAACCGTGAGTCTGCCCAAACGGGCTAAATCCATGTACTAACACTATTGTTCACACATTTACGTCCTTACATACCGTCCATTCGGGACTTTTTCCCCATTCAGGACTTAAGTCAGTTCGCCTACTCCTGCCTGCTCCTTGTTCCATTCCCATTTCGTTAGTTTCCTTTCGTCCAATTTCTACCGAACTAGTCTCCAATCTATCTCAGTTACATGCTGCCATCTAGCGGCCACTACAATCATAGTACCCATTCGTTAGTTTTACACTGTTCCCTAATACATGTAATGTCCAGGTTCTTTTGAAATGTATTTAGCCTGCTACTAATTGTCCTTACATGCCCCCCTGTAGTTCGGTTATGTTTGCTATGTTTCTTGTTATTATTTACGACTGTGCACGGATATTGTCAGTTTCCCATTACTAGTTCAGCTCTGGTACGCATTTAATATTCACTAAGTATAATGCATTTCCATCATATATTGCAATGTCTTATTCTATCACTTATGGACTTGGTACTGTTCTGAGGGAGTCATCACATATTTGTTACCATGTGTTAGGGCCAATCTGTATACTTGCTCCCATGATAGGTATTTTACTTATTTGGAGCACGACCACCTATTCGCTAAACCTTTTTAGTAACACGCCACACTCCTATGTTCAGTATATATATCGTCATGTTCCCTGGTACAAACCCTAGTGTACCAGGCTTTACCATACCATCATACGATCCCCTTGACTCTACGTCAAATAATCACGTATTATGCACTAAAGGTTATTTCTCATCGCTGTTCTACTCTACTCAATCAAATTCATCATCCTAACCAACCCTTGCTATTTAGGCATGGCTTCACTAAACCTACATCAACTCCACTCTAACTGTTCTATGTTACATCAGCCAACGCTGGCACGCAATTCCTCCGCCAGGCCATACACAGGCCCACGCCCGGGGATCCTTAATTCCCCACACATACACCCCCTTCCCATGCTGTCACAACCATATAATTAAATATTCTAAGTCCTACCAGGATAGCTCAAACAACCCTCATAGCTTGGTATTTCATATCACCCTATACGTATTTTAGCTACAGAAGTCACAGGACGGTTACTCATGACTCTGCCTATTCCCCATTATTGTCGCAGTATCGGTTAAACACACCCCCACGGTCTTTGGTAGTGGCCTAGGATCCTGACCCTACTCGCTTATAGGGATATTTTATTTATGTCCTATGAATCTTGTACCCACCATGGTAGGGTCAGGATTCTAATGACTATGCCCTCAGGTTACCTACTCATAGCCCTTAAGTGTAGAAAAATAATCCAGGCACTCCAAGATGTTCCAAAAAAGTAGGCAATTTTATTGGACCCAAGCACCAAAGAACAACGTTTCGACCCCTAAGGGCCTTTATCAGCTTGATAAAGGCCCTAAGGGGTCGAAACATTGTTCTTTGGTGCTTGGGTCCAATAAAATTGCCTACTTTTTTGGAACATCTTGGAGTGCCTGGATTATTTTTCTACACTTAAGTTGATATTTGGTACCTTTGTTACTGGGGCTGATCCAGTTTATTGCACCCAGGAGTCCAGGACGAGGGTTTGAGTGCATTTCCATCACCTATACAGACCTGCTCATAGCCCAGCCTCAAGAACAACCACCCCCATGATACAAGCGTATTTTCATTCATAGTAAGTCAAGCCCAATTCCAGTTTAAACTGGCCTCCCACCATAATTTTCCATTTAGGTTCTCCAGTATCTCATTCCTCTGGCATGGAATCCTCATTCTACCCCAAGCAAGGTACATTTACCCACCTCACTACTACCCATCACCCGTCCCATTCGCGGATCGGGTATGTCAACTGGCGGTCTAGTTCCAAGCTAAGCCAGTAACTAGCCTCATCATTATCAATTCCGTGACGCCAACACCCATCTCCATCCGCATATGTAAGTATATAACCCTCGGCCCAACGCATAGCTAACGCCTCACATCAACCTCTCCAGGGTACCAGTAAGGGCCTCACCCAGCACGGCCTCTTATACTGACTCTTTTTTACAGTCCCCAAGAGGTCAACATTCCCGCCACATCTTTCAGTGGCCCCTGCCCACTAGGCCAAATCATAGGTAGAGCCTCTCTCAGCCACTTGGCATTAAGGGCCTCACTCTCCTGGTAGTTAAGATAAATTGTTTGCCTTTAGCTAGAGCCAGTTGACACAGAATCACGCTATTATTTGTTGTGCTCACCCCTCTCCTATTTTGGTCTCAGCGTGCCTCTAATCCCAGAACAAGAAAGTGACCTCACTGCCCCATACCCCAACCTGACTACCCACCCCGGCTGGGCCTAGCACCCCTGCAGACTATCTGGAGCCTACTAACCCCGGTTCCCTACATTCCTGGACCATCCTAAAATTAACAAGCTGTACTACGGCATTTAGGGATTCCATTCCCGGCCACAGCTCGCAAACCAAACTATATAAACTTCTGCTCAAATTACCGGTACATCTCAGCCGGGCACTAGCTCACAGTCAGGTAATCTGGATAACTACAATGAAGTCAAGCAGTTGATATCCACTCTACTTGCCTCCATACAAAACATCAACGATGGACTAGAGAGACTGGTATCTCCAGCCACAGGGCTCCTAAATCCCTCGCATGGTTATGTTATCCCTTCAAATCCTGCCCCTAGCACATCTGTTTACATTGTCACTCCCGCGTACTTCGTGTCCCTGACCAATCGCAAAGACATCTGAAAGGGTTAGTTTAGTCTCCTTACTGATTGCCTCCCACAGTGTCTTAGTGTACAAGTCTTACTAGTACTACGATGATCTATTCGTTGTTCTATAGACCAGAATCCCAGACTCAATCAGAAACTCACTATCCCATAATTCATCCTGGCTTTCAGTCTTTTCGTGACATAAGTGACTCTACTTCTCCTCACCATAGAGAAGGTTTGCATCGACAACCTGGAGCTTTACCTCCAAGCACACCCTTCCCGTCAGTTAATCTAAAATACGTGTTTATTTACACATACACACGTGTATATATAACGTTATATTAATATAAAAACACAGTAAAATTACACACGTTTGTGTGTGTGTGTATATATATATATATATATATATATATATAAACACTTGTAATCCTTGCACACAGACTAAACGGTTGTAGTGTCCGGGTGCTTGTAGTCCAGGGTAGATAAGAATATCAACAAACAAGGGATGACCAGCACTCACGGTTTTTGTAGAAGTTAAAAGTCCATAAATTTATTTAAACATATTTAAAAATGTAACAGCTCGACGTTTCAGTCCTCCTCCGGGACTTTCATCAGGAATACGCAAATACGCAATTTATGGACTTTTAACTTCTACAAAAACCGTGAGTGCTGGTCATCCCTTGTTTGTTGATATATATATACATATATATATATATATATATATACATACACACACATATATTATGATAAATAAAAAATAAACTGTAAAAATATTTTTTTTAAATTATGTATATAAATGTCATTTTATGATCACTGTATTTTGAGATAGATATGTATATATCCCAGAAAAAATGAGAGCACTCACTGGATTTGAAACAAATATTATATTATACCATGAGCAAAAAAGTGAATCAACGTTTTGACCGTCAAGCGATCTTTATCAAGATCTTGATAAAGACCACTTGAAGGTCGAAATGTTGATTCACTTTTTTGCTCATGGTATAATATTTGTTTCAAATCCAGTGAGTGCTCTCATTTTTTCTGGGTTTTATATTTGAGCACTGAGATTGCACCCTGGTTATTCTACTGATTTTGGTTTGAGGTTCTATGGTAAGAGTGCCAGAATTCTGGATAGAATATATATATATAAATATATATATATTCCCCTTAACGACCGAGGACAAACTAGGTACGTCCAATAAAAAACGGTCATTAAGGACGTCTGCGACAGGACGTCCACGATAGGAGCCCTGGACCGACGATCTTCGGAGACCCCAGCAGTACCCCTACAGCAGCTCCGGCCACCCCGGCCCTCCATGGCCATGTGATCATCATGATCACATCACCGCAATAGGACTCTAGGAGCTGCCAGCAGGGGGACTGTCTGAGCTGTCAGGCAGTCCCCCAGGCTGCTAAAAAAATAATAAAATAAATATATTATACATATACAGGTGGTCTTCATTTAGCAACCTACCTGTTTTACCATGGCTCACACTTACGACCAGGCGTTAGTGCAAGCCTTCATGGGGATTCCCTGCTCTGCTCATGTATATGTTTGGGAAAACTTCCCCAAACATAGACGAACACTCGAGAGCAGTGGTATGGTGTCTTCTTTTCAAAAATATATGGTTTGATGGGGGTAAATTATATTGTCCGGCTTCAAAAATGTCCCAAATGGGACATGGGTGCTTGATGACTAACTGTGAAACTCTGTACTCAGGAGATGTTGCTGAACACATATTGGGGTGTTCTTTGGCAGTAACCCTTAAAGTTATCAGTACATATATTCTTAAATTGCTATGTGTCTCAAAAAAAAAAAAAAATTCATCAATTATTTATTTAATTTTTTTATTTGGCATAGATTGGTGGTAAAATGGCTGCATTAAAAGATTCAAAATACCCCAGGTTTAATACCATAAGGTTGTCTTCTTTTAAAAAATATATACATGTGAAAGGTTTTTCGAGGATTCCTGACAGATAGTGTTACAATGTAACTTGCGTTAATTTTGGAAAAAAAATTGGTTTGGAAATAGCAAAGTGCTACTTGTGCTTTTCTAAACTCAGGACAAAATTTTGAAACTATGTAGCACGGGTGTTTTTTGGCAGTTGTAGATGCTTAACAGATTTTGGGGGTCAAAGTTAGAAAAAGTGTGTTTTTTTTCCACTTTTTCCATCATATTTTATAAATATTTTTTTAGTAAATTATATGATACAATTAAAATAATGGTATCTTCAGAAAGACCATTTAATGGCGAGAAAAACAGTATATAATATGTGTGGGTACAGTAAATGAGTAAGAGGAAAATTACAGCTAAACACAAACACCACAGAAATGTAAAAAGAGCTTGGTAAGTGCTTGGTGTAACACTTTAAAATCTAAAAGAAGACCAGATCATCACATGAGAAAAAAGTTGAATACAAGTTATTGGTTATTTCAATGGTGTAGTTTCCAAAAAAAACTATAGTTACACCCAAAAACTCACTGTGCAAACACTGCAATAAGCTGCTGCTCCTTATACCTCTTTATAAAGAAATAATGACAATGCTTTAGCTTGCAAAAATATTGTGTTGAGACCTTAAGTAGCTCGAGAATAGAGAACAGACAGACAGCACGTTGATGATGTAATTGTTGTGTATTCATCAAATAAATCCGCCTTTAAACTCTCGCTCAGCTAAAATACATTGTTATACAACAAAATGCTGATTTCTGAAAACTGTCTGGGTGATTAAATGGTTAACTGTCTAGCGATTTCCAGCAATGTGGTGTAACGTATGGGGTGCTCTCTTTCCTCTCAGTTCCCCAATTTCCAAGCGAAGCCCTGTGACTAAACACTTCCTCAGTATCTACCGGGTTCCCACAGACACATCTACACTGAGAGTCAGACCCTGTATACTGATACCTGTGGTGGGCACACATACCTCTCGTCTGCCCCTGTCCTAACAGAACGAACGTGAATAGAGAGATCGTACCCTGGAATCCTACCGAGAGAGCAGCCTGTCGGGGCGATGCTACCACTAACTAACACTGTGCGCATGCGCGTTCCTAACAACCCGCACGCATGCGTGTTGACAGATGCACACCCATGGAAGCATAGAGGATAGAGAGCGAAAAGCGTCAGATGTCCCCAAAGGGCTAAAACTACATTTCCCGTCAATCTTTGCTGCCGACACCCACTCTGCTAGACTAGCAAACACTACCAAATTCGCTTGCTAGTGTTGTGCCACCTGGCGTAGAGTCGGTGAATTAAATGGCTGCTGATGACAAATGTGTGTTTTCGGGATGTATTGGGGGTTTATATACTGGTTAAACTTGGAGACTTGACTAATAATTTGCAAGTTTTACTCCAAAGCAGCTTTAAGTGTTACTCCAAGCACCATGGCTTGAAGTGGTCATGGTGCTCGGAGTATGTATAACAATTTGCTTAGAGCAAGAGTTTGTGTGGCTACTGTCAACTATAAGCATTTTTATATAAGCATTTTTATTTTCTTTCCATTCATTGTCTAATCGTAGTCAGCTGACACTCCCAGGCAATGAATCGTGTCCGCAAAGAAACTCTGAGCCTGGGGAACCACGTAAACTGTAGTGGTTATGATGATTGGAGTAACCCTTTACAAAGAAAATCATGAAAGGTTTTGCCTAGAAATGTAATTATCCTGGTTAAATAAACACTGCCAGCATCATAACCATTAGAGCCATACTTATTTTGGAGGGGGGAGACGGAGAAACCTTAACAATTATTTACTAAGCACAGGTATATCCTTTTGTTAGTGGTTAATGCTTGTGATCAAATAGAAATGGAATTTTGATGTAAAAAAAATCTTTTATAAACTAATTGGCACTAGAGCCAGTTCCATGGCAACTTCCCAGAGTAATTTGTCAAAACGTGTAAGAGCACCCTAATTCCCAATATGGTGAATACCCTGATATGGTTGCCAGATGTTCATACCTCACAAACCAAAGTTTAAGCCATGATGACAGGGGAAGGAAGGACGTGCTGGCAAATTGCATTATTGGTGATGTTCATGACAGTAACAAAGGTGCACCCAGATGTCAGGAATTACTGCATGTAAGCAAGTCAGCTCCATCCATGTTGAAGTTTCCATATATAGCAAGAATTCCTTGGCATAATATAGCACACCCAAAACAGTTGCACTTTATAGGGATTTTTCTTTTGTGCAACCAAGAAATGGGACACTGGAAAAATTCTGGGACAGTGGCACAGACAAGGACCTATTTTATCCTATAATGAATGGGCCACGTCTTTTTTTATATTGTGTTTGTTTCTAAGATTTTGCTTGGCTTGAGAAATACACTATATATGTCAAAACATTGCTGATCACTTTGTTTAGCTAAACGGTGGGCCGCAATAGCCATGGGCCAAGGCCGGCAGGGGAGATCACAGGATCTCCCCGGCCGGCCCATGAAGGGCCCGCGCAATCAGAGTGCCGGCCCTGCTGTGTGCCTTCATGTGCCAGTGGGGAGATCAAAGATCTCCCTCATCGGCCCACAGGCACTGATATGCAGCCGATGGCTGGGGAGGGAGGGAGAGGATGACCCGGTGGACGGTTACCACGGCAACTCTCAGATCTCACGAGAGTGAACTCTACCCCAGGAACTGCATATTAGAAAACATAGTTAATATATTTACATTTTGCCTGCCACACACACACAATCCCTCCAGACATTCACACAAACAGCACGCTCACACACAGCACACACAAACAGCACCCTCAGACACACTATTAGCACCCTTAGTGTTATGTATTGGGGTTTATGCAGTCCACCTTCTAGTAGATGGCAGCATAGTGAAATTATGCACTTGTTCTGTTGTGTTAGTCTCTCTTGTGTTATGTCATTATGTGTGTGTACTGAAGTAAAGAGAAGTTCTATTTTGCTACAATGTCTGAGAGCCATTTTGTGAATATATAACATGCAAATACTTTAAACTGGCGACGAGCATGGGATCTCAGTAAATGGACACTGCAGAATATATATATAAAGGAAATAAGATCAGCCTGAGTGAGGAAGTATATATATACAAATGTAGACCACCCAGGTGCAACATAAAAAATTACAATAAAGGTAATTACTTCCCTTACAAGTCAGGTAATAACAAGAGGGTTCCTCAAAAGGTCCTCAAAATGCAAATATGAAATATAAGATACACCTTAAAAATCATTCATGAGGAAGTAACACTTTTCTTTTGGAATTCTATTATCTACAAATATTTCCAGCTTGGCTTCTCTGGGACACATGGAGGAATTTGATCTGGCTAATCCAGCCTCATGGGACTCATACGCTGACAGGTTAGTGTTTTTCCTAGAAGCTAATAAGGTGATGGATGCTATTCAGAAGAGAGCTGTGTTACTGAGTGTTATTGGATCTAAGACTTTTGATATTGTCCACTCACTGATATCTCCTGCTAAACCACAAGACTACTCATTTGAAGATATTCTGGCACTGTTAAAAAAATCATTTTGTAACCAAGTAAACTTGCAGAAGCCGGATACAGAGAGATGGATGCAGGTTTTCAGGAAGTAAGAGGTCTTTATTAACATACCGATCGGGCCTCAGATGAACTAACGTTCCAAAACAGGTCTGAGGGGCGAACACATGGAGTACATGCTTTTTATAGAACTATAACTCCTCCCATTAATAGCTCCACCTGCACATACCCTTAACCAATCAGTGGACAGGATTTGGATTTCCTCATATGGGCAGACCACATGGCTTATCCGAAACAAAGGAGAAAGGAGTGTAATTTCAGTTCCTGCATTCCTGCACATGCTCAGTACATTGATGATAGTATCTTAGCTACGTGTAACTAATTAACTAATACAACATACACATATGCCACGTGTAAATCTCGGCCTACTAAATTTACATTTCACTGAAATTCCATCACATTCCCCCTTTGATACCTCTGATACAAAATTATTCCAGATGCATCACCAATACCTCTCAAGTAGCCACTGGACCAGAGCAGACCTTGTTAGCATCTTAGCATCATCACAAACTCCTTCAGCATTCCTCATCCTGAATATGTTCTCTTTCGGCTAGGGATTTATATCTACATACAGCCATTACATGAGCAACTGTCTTTCTTTCTATAGTACTCTCTATGATACTACGTATAGATCTGACCACTAATCGAATTAGGCAGGGCAGAAAGAGACATAAGAATATAATATGAATACTACTCCTCCTACTAACGCCTTAATCCCTCCAAGCTGCTCATACCAACTTCCAAACCAACTACTAGGATTATACCCATTCCAGACCCGAGTAGGTACATGCGTCAGTTTAACCATGTGGCTTGTAAGTTCAGCCACTGCCCGCCCTTCATCATCTATGTGCAAACAACAGTTGCTGAGATTAAACTTTCCGCATACACCTCCCTCTACTGCTAATAGGTAGTCCAGAGCTAATCTATTTTGGTAGATGGCTGATCTCATCCGAGTATTTTGCTTAGCTAGAAGATTAAGTTCTTGAGCTGTCTCATTAGTGATAATCTCAACCACAGCCTGTAGTCTTGTAATACGGTTGAGCATTGGGGTTCTATATCCATAGGTACCATATTCTGCCCAAGTAGCAGGTCCATAATAATTAATAATGCATTGCGGAGGCCACTCATCATCTTCCCAGCTACCTATATTCAAGGATGCTCACTTCTTTTTATGATGTACATCATAAACCTTAACTCCCAAGGTCTCTCCTGTCTCAATTGGCAACAGGAAGAAGGATGGTTTGAGCATACCTAATACACATGTCCCTTCCCAATCTTGTGGTAATTCTGAATATGCTTTCTTACCACAGATCCAATATAAATTCGCCGGGGCTTTCCAGTTGGATGTAGGATATAAGTTAAACCATACCTCTTTTAAGTGGGTGTAATAGGCAAACGGATTAGTAGGCTCTGAGACATTTGAAGCTGACTACCAAGTAGTATCTTTAGTATCGGCATTATAGGCTTTCTGTCCTAGACATATTGACTCGCCAACAGGTGTGGTATACAATGGCCCTTTCCTGGCTAAACATACATGGCCTATAATGGAGGTTTTTAACCACTACTCTGATTTACCTCTAGTACTTACTTGATGATCAGACTGAGAAAGTATTTGTTGTTCATCTGTCTGAGAACCAGGATACCATACTTCCTTTGCCTCCCATGGCCACTGGTCTCCCATATTAGTACCTCCACATACAAAGCAATTAGTTACATTAAGACTACCCACAATACTCTCAGCCAAATCAATAAATAGGTTCTTAACATTATGGGGAATTTTATCCTCAACACTCTTCTCCTCATAGAAGGAATGAAAAACCTGATGAGTTTGAGTTGCTATTGTCTCAGTTTCAAGTCCTACATATATTATGGTCCCTGGGTCTACTCCTGTGCCATATATTTGGAACCCAAATAGATTTCCAAACTTATCAATAAAATGTTGTGGATTAGAGATGGTCATATGGACAGGATTACATTCCATAGACTTACAGTGTGGTGTAGTGGGCAACCTTTGGATAATCATATCTTAATCCACTGTTTTTCCCCAGGTCGCCCACCCTACACAAGACCAATATGGACAAAAATTAAAATCCCTATTTGGGCAATCAGGATCAGTAGATCTCTTACTGGGACATAAATGTTTATCATTAAACCCATAAGTTCGTTCCCATTTAAGATTACCACATACATTCCAAGGTTTTCCAATACCAAAGATCACCTTACATGCATCAAATAGTAGAATGCCTGTAGAATGTATGGTATTTATCACAGTCCTATTTATCAAGGTCCCCTGGGAGTTACTGTTCAGAATTACCAACCAAATTGTACGGGGTTGGAATTGGGGATCAAAACATTTAGGCTCTCCTGATATTGGTTTGCACACACTGTAATCTATATCTAAATATCTACACTTAGATACAGATCCCCTACACTCATACTGTGAGTGCCAAATGAGAGTTTGGGATATATGGTTACCTGTTTTTGTAGTCTTAATGCAGCTAACACGACTCTGTATGTCCTCACCTTTACCTTCCTGAAAAATCACAAAAATGCTTAAACACATAAT